AAAAAAGTATTCCTATGATCTGGCTTATGTTCCTATAAAGAAACGCAAAATTGGAAGAATTTTTTAAGTATTTGAAAAGAATAATATCTTCTACTCAAACTCTACTGTCCAGATTTCAGAAAAAAATTAAGAAAAAATGAAAATATTTCAGGTAAGAACTATAGCGACAAAAGAGCATAGAGTTGGATGTTTTTTCAACAGCTGTAGTTCATGCTGTCATGCTACAAATATGAATGGATGACATTTGATGGCAGTAACTGTAGGCGAGATTATCTTGAAGTGTTTCCTTTTGCCCTGAAATACTTGACTCAAACCTACTTACCAGCAGTATTTAAGCTGTGCTTCAGTTTTCTTTTATGGCAGGGAAGGTAAGTAATCAGTGCATCAAAATAACAGCTTGAACTATTGTGCCCTTTAGCTTCGTGCTGCATGCACTTAAACCCTCACACAGGTAATTTTAACAATGCAGAGGTCCCACTGGAGGAGCCCACATCTCCCATAAAAGATTTGCGTCAAAGATATAACCTGCAAATTGCCTCTGTCCCAGTGAAACATTAACTACGAAGCAAGCATGGTCTAATATAGCCATAAAAAGATCTCTAGGTGACATCTGTACTTTCAGCAAAACAAATATTGTTCAAAACAGAGTTTAACCATGGTTTCTGAAAATGCTAAATGTCATGGTAGACCATGTGCGTTTGGTCGGTTGCGCTTGCTGACACACGAGGTTGTTATTTTTCTTGCTGAGCCTCCTAATCTAATAATAGTTATTCTGATTATTACAGTCTATCTAACCTAATAGTTATTTTCTACGGTGTAATTCTAAACTACATATGTGATTGAGTAAATTAAAGTTTTGAATTTATCGGTTGGTTTCTGAAGTGAACCTTTAGGGGTTCCGTTGAACTTTTAAATCTAAATCTTAGGTCTAAATCTATCAGCCTACTCTTTTCCAGATAGAAAGCTGGTCATGATAGAAAGCTAGTTTTCAATGTCATGTCTTAGTGTGTTCAGACTGAATATGTGATTACATCTTCAAGCGGCAGCATGACTTATGTGTAAGGTTTTGAGCATAAGTGAATGTATGTCTCTGTGTAGACACATACAGGCATAGCACAGTAGTTAATTAGCGTCCTGAAACATCAGTGTACAGTTATGCAGAATTAGTTGCATTGGAAATTAAGAGTTAGATTCAGTTTAATTATTGGAGTCTAGTTGTGATTTTAAATGATCTGGCTATCCCAGCTGTCAATCCAGAAAGGCATGAGCTTTTTGCAGGTCCTGTGTCATATCTGCCAGCGTAGGGCAGATATCTCAAATGCCTAAAGGCGTTTCAAATGGCACTTGATGCCTGTGTTTAGGACTGAATGTTCTGTACTCCCTTTTGTACCAATAACAACTTGAATGAAATTAATATCATTAGCCAACTGTCCCATTGGAAAATGAATATTAGATTAATGCTTTTGCAAAAAATACAGGAGTAACCAGACAGGTATGATTTTAAGGCTACCAAGGCAGAAAGCAGTTTGGTTTGTTTGGATTTTTTTCCAACCAGTCTGTGTTGCGAGGCAAAATTCCTTCAGGAATATCTCTTCCTTAACAGGGCTGTTGTATAGACATGTGATTTCTGTAGATTCATAGACATTGTTTAGACATTGCAGGTCATCCTCTGAACTCTTCGAGAGGTAAGGTCTTGCCATGTTATCCATGGATTGTTGAGGCATAGAAATATCAAGTGGCTTGCTCAAAATTGCATGAGTTAAGATGTGGGGAGAAAAAAGTGAATAGAGCAAGAGGAAGGCGCAGTGTAGTTGAATGGAATATTCTTAAACCTCAGGGAATAGTAACTTAAACATCACTCTTTTCCCTCTCAATCACATGTCAGCAAATCCATTAAAAAGATTGGAATGGAAAGCAATCCACTGATATTTTTATTTCAGTTTTCTTATTACACTTTTTGTGGTAGGTACTGGTGATAGAACAGAAGAATGAGGATGGAACATGGCCAAGAGGTCCTTCAACTCCTAAGTAAGTTGTGAATTTAAGTAATGTTATTCACTATAGCTTAACTATTTTCACATATTATTTTACTTTAAAAAGAAAACCTGTTTTTAAAAGTGGCATTATATTTTGAAAATTGGCCTTGAGATATTTTAGCTGAAAATATGACAAATAGTGTATTTGTTATAAGTGCTGCATGTTGTAGAACATGACATAATAATGAATTCCTGCATATACATTGCTTAATTTTATTTCAGTCAGTGATACAGAAAGAAAAAATCCATACTAGAAAACTGTAAAACTTAGCTTATTTTATTTAGATTTCTGTTTCAAAGCATAGCGTATCTCTTAGGTGAACATAGATACATGTATTTTATCAGTATTGTTCTTATATGTAAATGTTTTCATGGATGGCTTGTCCTTTTATCTCCAGCGCACAATATTTACACATAAACATTATTTAAATTGCAGTCTACGTTACCAGCATGTTGCTTTTGTTCTTCACTGGGCTGTCATCAATTAACAGAGTATGATGTTCTTTTACTTTTCTGTTCTTCCTGCTGCCATTATCAACAGCACCTTGATAATGGCAAGTGAGTAGAAAGACTTGAGTGTGGTTTTTCTCATTTAGATGGATAAATTTTCTTTAGTACTGTTTCCAGAATCTTAAATCATGTTCTCTTGAAGAACAGTTGGAACTAGTCACTACTAAACTAACACGATCTCAACCTTACAAATAGTTAACTGTGTTTTTCCCTTTGTCTGGTTCTTGAGCATATCTTTCATGAAAAGTTCTTTTAAGTTCCTTTTATTCCTTATTCTTTATTCTTTATTATTCTTTATTCTGCATTCATGTAATTGGGGTTCACAGTTGTTTTAAAACATTTTTGTAGTATTGCTTATCATTTGAAGGAGAGAGATTCTTTATCTTTGGTGTTTTATCTGAAGCACTTTTATTAGGAGCACTAGCTTCTATTAAGTTGCTTAATGAAGTCTTGAGTTCAATTTAAGCTTAGTATGAACAACATAATCTTGCTTAGCTAGATGTTATGACTCAAAGAATTGAGAATGTAGAGCAGCAGAAAAAATGGGATGCAGAATACTTGAAGTTTAATCTCTGACCTCAAAAAGCATCTAGTAGAAATGTAAATTCTGAGTCAAATTTTAGATGTAGATTTTGAAGGTTAAAAGAATTTAGATAACTCAGTGTCACAGACTCTTTTGGAAGTTTTGGTAGGAAGATATTCTTGGTGATGGTACCCATACTGCCAAATTTCCATTCCACTTTATGGAAGGCATTCAGGAGTAGTATATAAATTAAAGAATATCTCCTGGAAAATTTTTGATCTGGGGACAAGTAAAATGGTAACACTGGTGTCAGAGGAGGCTAAAAGTAAACCAGCAAATGAGGTTGAATAGTTTTGCTGTGAAGCTGGGGTATGTTTTTCAGGTTTGGCTATCAGAAAGATTGATTGAAATTTGCTATTCAAATGCATTGTAATAGTGGAAGGTTTGCAAAATTTAGTGGATTCAGATAGAAACTATCAATGAGCAGTAATGGGGACAGGTTTTTACATTTGTTTAACTTCATGAAAAATCTAATAAATATTTAAAGAGATAGAAATATTAAACACTTGCTTTTCAGTCTTCTGTGTGAGATGCATTAGGAGTATTAGTTTCTCTTTGCAAATAGCATACATCCAGATACCTTCCTACAGTCCTGTCATTGATCACACACTGGTCTCACACCAGTTTCTGCTGAGACTACCTCTTTGTAGTGCTTGTTTTAGAAGAGTACATAAATTCTGAGGCCAGGGAATAAAATGCCGTATTTAGAAAGGTCAAAATGTAGAATATTGGAAAGTATAAAATATTTACGGTGCTTGATAAGCACCGGATCATTTTAGAACATCAGCTAAGCTTTTCACAGAATCACAGAACAGTTGAGGATGGAAGGCATCTCTGGAGATTGTCTAGTCCAATCCCCTGCTCAAAGAAGGGTCACCTACAGCCGGTTGCTTGGAAATGTGTCCAGTCAGGTTTTGAGCATCTGCAAGGATGGAGGCTCCACAGCCTCCCTGGAAAATCTATTCCACTGTTTGATAATGCTCACTGTAAAACAACATTTTTTTAATAGTTAAATGGAATTGCCTGTGCTTCAGTTTGTGTCCATTGCCTCTTCTTTCAGTGGGTGCCGCTGAGAAGGGTCTTGCCCCATCTTTTTCATTCCCTCCCATTGGGTATTTCTACACATTGGTAAGATTGCTCTGGAGCCTTCTCTGAACAGTCCCAGCTCTCTCAGCCCCTCCACATAGGTCAGATGCTGCAACCCCTTGATCACCTTTGTGGCCTCTCACTGGACTTGCTCCCTGTCTCTCTGGTACTGGGGAGCCCAGAAGTGAGACCAGCACTTCAGGTTGTCTCACCAGCGCTGAGTGGAGGGGAAGGATCACCTCCCTCGACCTGCTGGCAATGCTTTTCCCAATGCAGCCCACAAGGTTGTTGGCCTAAGGACACATGGCTGGCTCATGTTCAGCTTTTTGTCCAGCAGGACCCCAGGTGCTTCTCTGACAAGCTGCTTTCCATCTGGTCATCTGGCGCCCCCTCCCTACCCCCCTCTGTGCCCCAGCATGTACTGGTGCCTGGGGTTATTCTTCCCCAGGTGCAGGCCTTTGCATTTTCTTTGATTGAACTTCATGAGGTTCCTGTCTGCCCATTTCTCCAGTCTGCTGAGGTCCCTCTGAATGGCAGCACAACCTGTGTTGTGACAGTTGAAAATATGTAGCGATAGTAAATGTTCTGCACATTTTCTCTGCCTTTTGTTCGCAGAAGCACAACAGCAGTCTTTGTATTGATTGCTGCTTTTGGCAATTTCTTTTTCTTCCTACTGCAGGTGTTGAACATGGGCAGGTTTTTTATGAGAAACATGTTAAAGGTGTGAGCCTTTTTTTCTGCTGCAGGAAAAGAATGTATTTACTTTGAAAGTCGACAAATGGGGACCTCAGCTCAGTATAAGGAGGAACACTTTTGAAAATGATAATTCAGTAGAAGTGAAAAGATCATCATCATCATTACCTCTTCTTCTGAAGAAACTAGGAGGAAATTATTTCAAGTTTGAAAACTTTATATATATCTGCTCCTTTTTAAATAAGAGCAGAGACTCTGCTGTGCAACTTAGAATTTCAGCTCGATGTCCAACCTTGTCAGAGTTTAGATTTCTTTTATGTGTGGTGTTCTTACTTCTGAATTTACTTAATTTTGGAAGTAATTGCAATATCCACTGTAAAAACGCCACTAAAGTTTAATTATATCCGCTATTGTCTCATATTTTAAAGCTGCTTAAAATGTTTGTGGGTTTTAGGTTTTCTTTTTTTTTGTCTGGAAGTATCTGAATGTAGTGTACATTCTTACAGTGTGCACAGGGTCAGTCAGGTTAGGAATAGCTGGATTTTTCACTCTCTGAGATGTTCTGGTTTCTATCAGCTGTTTATATCAGCTACTGGGATGTTTGTTATTCAGGAAGCTTGGCTTCTGTGAAACTTTCTCTAGGGAGCTCATAGTGACTTCTCCTGGAATGTCTTTACTGTCATCTGCTTCCAAAATAGATATTACTCAGCATTAATGGGCAGTTCTGCAGAAAATTTTGTTATACTAACTTTTCTGTGAATAACTGTCTCCTCAATGTCATACATGTGACAAACTCATTCATTTTTTTTCATATCTGTATCCTTCTGTGGGAGATTATTTCACAGGCAGAAAACCAACCAACCAAACTACCCTATTTGAATGGCTTATTATCATCAAGACGATGTTTTAAACTAAGGTATAAAAAAAAAAAATCTGAGGTTGTAGTTCAACTTAAGCAACTGTACTACAAAATCAAATTACTTGTGTTCAGGAAGAACTGTACAACAATTAAAACCTTTCATCCAATCTGTGTTTATAACACTTGAGACAAGGAGAAGGAAGGAGTGTAAGTTTTGAAGTTCCACGAATTACTAAATGAATAGCCAGGACGAGGTTTCTATTAGTTTTCTGTTAAGTTGTTGCCTGTTTGTGTGCAAATATAAAAGTAAGTTAGAGAAACACACAAAGAAGCTATTAACTAGAAACTTACTTCCTTCTAATTTTAGAAAAGTATTGTTTGCTGTTTTCTTAGAAAACTTAATAAACAAGCATTAAATCTATTGATCCATCATATTCTTCAAAAATGCTTCTTATAAGGTAAAAAGCTAAGAATTTTTAGTTATCAATATACAACTATGTGTATAATGAAATTAATAGATTTAATTCTGATCTGCTTTTTTAGACTCCACTGTGGAATAAATCTTCCTAATCAAATAGCTGGCTACTTTGCATAATTTACAGATGGTCTGCTCTTAATTTTAAAAATTTTTGCATGTTAAAAGGGAATACGTTGGGTTTTGGTTTGGGTTCTTTTTGACCATACAAAAATTTCAGACTGTACACATTCATAGGGTTTTTTTTCTCCTGGTAATAATGAATGTTTTCTTACAATAATTGTTACATGGTAAGGTTTTTTTCATATTTTCTCATTCAAAACTGTATATGCCTCTTGTTTCTGAGCTGGATCCCATGACATTTTTAAGAGAAAAAAATGCATAAATGATGGTTAGCTATCCTTTTTGAAATAATTTAATGCTTGTGTATCCAAGTTCTTTAGGAAAAAATATCATGAGTCTTCAAAAGAAAATCTGTGTTTGTCTACTGAAATGAAAAGTATCATCTTTTACCAAGAGATTTAAAATCTGTTTTGTTTTGTTTTTTTCCCCTGAAACAGTTGATGTGAATTTGCTTTTTAAGAAACATAATTGTGGAGAATTGAGCTAACTGAGGACTTACTCTGATTCTTAAAATGTAAAAGCAAGAGCTGTCAGAGCTTGTCTGCCAGTCAGGAGCTGGACTGGTGTTCGCTGAGGCATAATAACTTGTTAGACTATGGTAACCATGTGTTTTAGCCCCTGTGGGTAAACATCAAACATTGGTAATGTACAACAGACCTTTTCAAGTTAGTTTAGCAAACATGTTCATTAATATCAGTTAATGCAGGGTCGAGAAACTCTTAACAAACCCTGAACATTAACATTCTTTTTGATTGCTGAATATTAAACCATCAACGTTTCACGCACACCCCCCAAAGAAGTATGATTAACTGAATTAGGTGTTTTTCATAAGAACAGAATAGCCTAAACTGAAGTAGGTTAAACATACTAAAGCTTGCTTTAAAAGCTAAATTGTGTGTTAGCCTGATTATAACCACACCTTCACAGGATCAGAGTCCTTGAGGTTGGAAGGCCCTTTCAAGATAATGTCATCCAATCTCCCTACTCAAAGCAGGGGCAGCTTGAGCAGGTTGCCAAGGACCATGTCCAGGTACATTTTGAATATCTCCAGGGATGGAGACCACACAGCTTCTCTGGTCAACCTGTTCCAGTTTTTTACCACCCTCACTGTCAAAAAAAAGTGAGCGTTTATCACTTTTTTTCTTTTTCTTTTTCTTTTTTTTTCTGTTGTGAACATCATCTTATCTTAGGATGGAATTACATTTATTCCAATTTATACCCATTGCTGCTTCTCCTTTCAGTGGGCACGTTGCTGGCTCATGTTCAGCTTTTTGTCCAGCAGGACCCCAGGTGCTTCTCTGACAAGCTGCTTTCCAGCCAGTCTCCCACCCTTCCATGCTCCAGTGTGTACTGGTGCCTGGGGTTATTTTTCCCCAGGTGTAGGCCTTTGCATTTCCTTTGATTGAACTTCATGAGGTTCCTGTCTGCCCATTTCTCCAGCCTGCTGAGGTCCCTCTGGCTGGCAACACACCCATCTGGTGTATCAGTCCCTCCTCCCAGTTTTGTGTCATCTTTAATCTTGCTGAGGGTGCGCTCTGTCCCAGTGTTCTGGTCATTAATAAAGATGTTAGAGAGTATAGAACCTAGTATTGATCCCTGGAGTATAGCACTGGTGACTGGCTGTTCCAACCCAGGCTGGTTAACTCAGGAGGTTGTAGTAGGTTTGTGATTCCCTTGGGCTAAATTGAGGTGAAACGACACCAAATGGTCGGTTAAACGTTTTATTTATGGTAGAAGGGGGAAAGTGTAACGGCAAACTTGGCGTGGGTCCTAGTGTTGATGTTGACGGACGTGGCAATCCTAATCCTCTGGTGATGGGCACGCACTCGGCTCCTTGGAGTCGTGCCTTTTATAGTCTTGTTCCCGCCTTTTTATTGTGTCAGTCGTGCCCATTGAGGCCAGCTCCTGCCACTTGACTGCGCCAGTCACGCCCCTCAGGTTCCTGCTTTTCCAGGACTTGCGTAACTCTTGATCTTCTGCGCAGATGCCACTGTAGGGGGGTGGGTGCAAAGGGGTTTTCAGGTGGCCATGAGCCCCTTCCTCCAATAAATCCTGCATTACCTCCAGCCATATATGACACAGTGTCATGTCGGGTCTGTCAGAACGTGGGACTGCAGGCCTATCAGGACATGGGCCTGCACACCCTCTGGCACAACCCACCAAGGCCCTCCTCAGCCGACCCCTGTGGTCCCCCACAATGGCTGCCACAGTGTTTGAGACATTAACTCTTTCACTCCCTCACGCTGGCCTCCAACTGGACTTTATGCTACTGGTCAGCATAATCTGGGCCCAACCTTTCAGCTGGTTTTCAGTCTGTTTCATTTGTTTACTTGTAGAATCTTTCTTGTTGCCCTTTACATCACTTGCCAGGTTTAACACCAGGTAGGCTTTGGCTTTCCTGACCTCATAACTGCACAAGTATCTCTCGGTTCCTCCTGGGTTAGCTGCCCCTGCTTTCACTCAGACACTTTCTCTTCGTGTCTGAGTTGAGTCAGGAGTTCCTTGTTCATCCGTGCAGGCTTCCTGCTGCCTTTGCTTGATTTTCTACTTGCCAGGATGGACCATTCTTGAGCTTAGAGGAGGTAGTCCTTGAAGCTGGTTGATACCAGCCCTCTTGGGCCCCTCTTCTCTTCAGGGATGTACCCCATGGGACTCTACTAAACAGATCCCTGAAAAGGCGAAAGTCTGCTCTCCAGAAGTCTAGGGTTGTGTTACTGCTTTCTGCCCTGCCCCCTATTGGGATCCTGAATTTCACCATCTTGCGGTCATTGCAGCCAAGGCCCCAGCCATCACATCCTCCCTGTTTGTAAGTATTGGATCCAGCCAAGCGCCTCTCCTTGTTGGCTCCTCAATCACTTGTGTCAGGAAGCTGTCATCAGTGCACTCCAGAACCTTCCTGGATTGCTTGGGCCCTGCTGTGTTGTCCCACCAGCATGTATGACAATGGTTAAAGTCCCTGGTAAGGAGTAGGGCCTGTGAATGTTAGGCTGCTTCCAGTTGTCCGAAGAAGCCTTGTCTGCTTTTTTTTTTTTTTTTTAATCCTGATCCAGGCAATCTATAGCAGGTGTCCACAGATTACTGGAGGAAGGGTTGTTCTGATTGCAGTTGGTTTTGCTGAGGTCCATATTTATGTCTCTACTGTGGGTCATTGTGGGAGTTTATGTATGGGCAGTTTAACCATAGGGTTAATGAAGTGTCTAGGGAAGTCATTATCTAATGTGAGTTACTGTCTGTTTTCGCATAGGACTACAGTAAAGTTTGGGTTTTAAGCTGTCTTTTGCTGAACTGTTAAAATGCTAAACTATAATAAATAATGCTCTGTGTTTTGTTTGTTAGATCATAAAAAGTTACCTTTCAAAGTTGTCTGTTACATAGTTCCTGATGTTTTTCCAGCTATATTGAGAATTTGGTTTACTCTTCTGCACATGAGAAACAAAGCCATTTACTGATTATTTGGGTTTTTACAACCAGAGTTTAAAACTGACCATTTTTGTCAAGCAAGTAACTATATCTTTTGGATGTCTTTCTGTGGTGTTTTAACACCACAGCAACATTAATACCTACTGAAGTTAGTATACTGCTAAAAGCATATATACTTTGTCTTAGAACCTTGCATTTAAAACATAATTGAGTTTTTGTTGCACACTTGATTACTTTTTTTTTGGGAGATTCCTAAGTCATTGCAGTTGTTTTATGAGTACTCTTGGTCATTCTTTTTGTACAATTTTAAAGGCAGAACTGGAGTATGGCAATACATTCAGCACTAGCACTTACTGTCTTTTCAGGAGGTTTTATTATCCTTGTTTTGATCTTACTTTTTTCTTTTGAACAATGAGGGGGATTTCTGACAGTGTTGTTAGATAGTTTCCCCACAAGTGTTGAAATATATTAAAAGCTATGTGAGCTGTGAATGAATTCTGTTCTTCTCTGTACATAGGATTTAGCAACATAAGCAGCCATAAGCGAACAGAAAGGCTGCACACCTCAGAGTAGCAGGAACCTCTTACTGTTTTACCTGTTAAATATCACTTTGTATTTGATAGCAAGTACTATCAAAGAGTAAAACTACTGATTGTCATCTTCTCTAAGAAACAAATTAACTTAGTTTTTGGTGAAAACCAGACCTTTATGTAGCTTATTCTCGTTTCTTTTAATTTTTTAGACAACAATTTTACATTGTGTTTTGAAATTTTAAACTGCATTGCATTTGAATTTGGCTTGAATTATATAAAAGCTTCAGATTTGTTTTGAAAAGTTCAATTTCAGTTCAAAATGACTCAGTTCAAATAGCGTCTTCTAAAATAATCACATATATGAACATCCATAATTTAACTTTTGTCTTGAATTTAAGTAGGGTTAAATTGACTTCAGTTTTATATCTTTCTTGTGGACACAGTCTGTGTATTTTCTTCTTTAAAGATGATGTTCAAAGAAGAGGATTTAGACTGATAAAGGAAATCTACAGGAAAGCTTTACTAATGTTGGTCAGAATGCTTTAAAAAAATAACATTTTCTTCACATGGTGATATATCTTTTCTTTTGGAAAAGGTTTATTGATAAGAAGTTGAAAATAAATGTGAATATACACTTTGGGAAAATTCCCTGTGTAAAAATGTTTATCTCCTTGCAGAGTTTAGTTCTTGAAAGGTGCTTAAAATCCTGAGCATGCAGAATTTCTTAATATTGTGGTATGTATTTCAAAGCTTTCCAATGACAGCTGAAGCTTTTTACAAATCAGCTGGAGTTGCAGAGGGCCCACAAAAACGTGAAGGTGCCTAAATCCTTTGAGTATTCAGAGCTTTTACCATGGTTATCTGCAGGATTTGATCAGAAAAAGAAAAATACACTGCAAGATAGTTGTATATTTAATTGTTACATTCAGAGGGTCTTTGTGATTAAAATTATCAGTATTCTTATATTTAAGCATAGTCTTAAACAATAAGAATGAGTGATGATGCTATTACTTTTGGCAAAAAAAAAAGTTTTTAAAGGTTATTTAGTATAGTGCGTAATATCCTGGATTTTTTTAACAACATTAATAAGGCAATTTTGATTAAATGGTTTCATGCTGCTATTAAACTAACCTTGAACTATGTATCTTAATCATTCCTGTATCTCGTCTCAACATCCATTTTTGTTTAAATGAAAAGTTCATAAAATTTCCATGTTAGAAACTTTACATTCTAGATTTTAGAACATGAAAATATTTACAGTCCTACTGTAAACTGAAAACAATTTTTTTAGCACAGTGGCCTGTGATTTTTTTGTTTGTTTGTTTGCTTGCTTTTTGTTTTTAATAGCTCTATTTCTTTGATGTGATATGAAAGTTTAAAGTACTGTGAAACATTTCAAGTTTTAAAAGGTGGATTCTGTGGGCTGCGTGTCCTGGGTATTTTTAGTGCTTTGCTGCCCACTTTTTAAAAAATATTTCTTTCCCATGCTTCTTTATATGCATTGTTCATTTGTTAGCATTGTTTCATAGCTTTTAATATCTCAGCATTTTTATCTAATTTATCATTTTCATGTTTTTAAAGGTCCCCAGGTGCATCCAATTTTTCAACTTTACCAAAGATCTCTCCATCTCTATCAAATAGTTATAACAACATGAACAACAGAAAGTAAGCAATATACCTTAAAACATTATTTAATTGAATTGCTCCTGTGTCTCATAAACAATTTTTGATGTTTTATAACTCCTAGCTTAAGGATGTTTTGCAATATTTGGATTGTGAATTGTTACTGGTCACCGTGTCATAGTGTAGGTATTGTAAAGCATGATAACAGGAAATGAAATGCAGTTAAAGATGTTTGGTAACTCTAAGTCCTCAGTAGAATAGACACTACAAAAGAATGTTGAGCATTGTAAGAAAATTTATAAAGACTTCATTTAGAGTTTATCATGCTAAAAATGTTGTTGTTGTTATCCTGCCTGAATTTAGATGGACAACATAAAAGTATAAACTACTTACATCTATGATGGTGGTCAGGTTTTTCCTTATTTATTGATGCTGAGGTATTATAGCAGCATATGTGATACCACACATTGCTTTGAGACCACTAGAGCAGAATTGTCATAGTGATTATAGCCATTGATTAATTATCAGCAATTTACCTTCTGTGTCTTAGTGTGAGAAGATTGAGAGAGATCAGTCTGATAGGTGTGCTTGAAGATTACAATGAGCAGAGGCTTAGTAAAAGAGGCTTCTTATTCTTAAGGGTTTTCTCTTTTCTATTCCAAATCAGAAGTTTAATAAAGAATATGATAAAACTCTAAAAGAAGAGCTTTCGTATTCCAGTGGCCAACTTTGTGTGTAATCTTTTTTTGTTGTACACAACTGTAAAAAAAGTTGGTGAATATAGAAAAACATGGAATTATTTCACTTTAACAGATAATGGAGCATCTTTCAAATGCTTGAAACCAGAGAGCACTCATCTTTAATGCAAGCTGGGGGAAATTGAAGAGGCTTATTCTTACAGTTCATTCAAATTTAAAATATTTTTCCAAACATGCATTTTGTGATCAAACATGAAGATGTTAAATATTAAAAAGGTGACATAAATATTAAATATTTTATACAATATCTTCCAGTTAAATACTGCATTTATCAGAAGTGATTTTTCCTAAGGGGTGAAGTGTCACTTGTGCTTCTACCAATTGTGAGTAGCCCCAACTCTCACTGTTAAACAGTTGAAATCATGTATTTAACTGCAGTCTATTGTACTCTGTGTGTGAATGTGTAGTAAATAAAAAGTATACTGTATCTATGATTGTGTGAAAAATTACTTGAACAGAGCTGAGCCTCCAGCTGAGAACTAATCTCTCCTTCCCCCGTTGCTTATGCAAAAGACAGTTGTAACACCAAAACCAAAGCTTAACAGTTACTTTTTCCTAGGGAGCCACCATATTAAATCAAACCAGCGAGGCTTTCTTCTTTTTTTTTTTTTTCCTTCTTTTTATTTTTTTCTTTTTTTTAATGTTAGCTTCTCCCTAGTGATGCTGTAGTTATTTTTAGGAAGCACTTACGAAACCTTTTGCCAGCTCTTGCAGCTTTTGAAGATAGTTTCTTCACTTGCTTCATCTGATTTTATTTTATTTCTTGGTTTATTTTGGAGCCAAAATGGGAGCTTTTAGAACTTAAGGTAAAATTCTAGGGTTGTTTTGTTTGTTGCGTTTTTTTAATTTGAGGATTTTCAACAGAAAATACATGTTTAAAAGGAAGGCATATAAAATTCAGATTTGATAAGCAATTGGTCCTTTGAAGTGCCTTAACTATAACTTAAACATTTGTAAATCAGGAAGCAAGTACTTGTTCTCTATAGTGTTATGAAATAACAGGCATTTTTCTCTTGTAACTCAAACCACTGTATATCTGGATGTTATGTAAGGCAGATACTCAGTGCAGAAGTATATGGGTTTCCTTACAATGCAATAATTCAATTATGATGAGTTTAAAATTAATATTTAAAAAAATCACAAATTTATAATTCACTACAATACATAATACAGGAGAATCTTTAGCAGCACTTCTGTCGGAATACATGTTCAGGATGAACTAGTGAACTAGTTCAGTGATAGAGAAGTCATATCCATTAATACGCTATGTACTTTATAGTACATACTGTTGCATTAAGAACTTCTGGCTTCAAAAGGTAAATGGAAAGAGATATATCTGTATTTAATTGTATTATATCATTCTAGGTTAAGATCAGTTTCTTCCTATGTTCTGTTCTTCTCACAAATATCTCCTTGCATAAGAAAGCAGTTTCTTTTCCGTTAATTAATGCTATCTTCTTTTCATTACTTTCGTAACTAACTACTTAATGTCAGCTTTGCCTGGAATTTATTTTCATGTTTCTGCCTTACTGTCTCTTACACTACACGTTATCTTTAGTACAATAGCAAAACTATACACTTGTGGCTTTCCAGGATCCATTGGCACCTCCATATCAACATGAGACACTGTGACTCTAAAAGAAATACCAACATTTGTTTTGAAGATAATTTTAGCTGACAAAGCTATTTGTAAGGCAGAAAAAGCAAACAACAGGTTGTGTGTGGTGATAGTCATAAATGCTAGTTGTTGCAAGCCTGGTTTTGCAATTATTATAGCTCAGCTATGGAGTACAAATTATGTAAAAACTCTGAAAAGTACCATGTTTCTTTATATAATACACATTTCTGTAATACTTTTCTAATTTGAGAAGTGTTCTGAGTAATTGTAAGCCTCAAATTGGTGAATATTTAACTGTGTGTTGAGCTAGTCATACGTTAGATAATAGAAATAGTTTGTGCAATTTTATTAGGTCCAAAACCTTCATTTCTGTAAATGTGAGTTTGCATTGATGGAATGGAGGATTCCAAATAATTGATCATTGATGTTCTTTTGCCTTTACAGGTGATCTTGTTGAAAGAATAACATAGGAGGATTAGCATAATATGTGTTAGTGGATTCAGAAGAGCAGGGAGAGACACGCATCATTTAGGTCTTACTGGAATTCCTGTTTATTGCTGTTATAAAGCAATACTTTTCATGTCACATATGGTATTTTTTAAATTATGTGGGGAGGGGATTAAAAACAGTTGAACAGGCATTTTGCTTGGGGAACAAAGTGAAAAGTTGTTTTGTTTTCTTCAGTTGTACCCATTGTTTCATGTTCTTAAAATGACTTGCTTTATTGTTCAGTAGTGTCAGCTTGTCAGAAGATGGACAGCTGGCAGCTTTGTTCACAAGCTTGGTATATTTCAACATGCTTGTTTCAAGAATTAAAAATGTTAATTATATCACCTGTAGAAACAGTTTCTTCATGTTGCACCTGACAGATAGGAAAATACTATGAAGGTGCTTTTTTTTTTAAACTTTATTTAAATAGATTACAATGTTATGTTTTGCTCTCCAGACGATGATCTTGAACAGTGACAAAGACAGTAGTCTTTGTGTAGTGACATGGGCCTCTCCTGCTGCTTCAGGCATCTCTAAAAATTGATGGAACCTGATCATGGGTTTGTTAAAGTGGCTGGTCACAAAAACACATTGGCAGTGCATTAAAATGGTTGAAATATCACGGGGCTCAGGAAGTGTTCCAAACAATTTTCTGGGCTCATTCTTGCAACTCAAATTCCTTTTGCAGCACCTGTTGGTACATGGCACTCCACTGTCAAATTGTGTCCTTTCCAAAGTTAGTGATACTTTTCCAAATTTCTCTGTTCCAAATGCACACTTCCCAGAACTCCAACCACATGGGTTCGTCACATCTGAAAGCTGCTTTGAGGTTTAAAGGCAGGATACAGACAGTACATATAAGTAATTTCAAATATGGCACATGCAACTCAAAATTTATAGATTTACAGGTGACAAAATCTCATTTGGAAATCTTCCTTTACCATTTTCACTACTTAAAGACCTCTGTCTACCTGTTCAAGGGTCTGAAGACGGTTTCATTTTTACAAGTCTTGCCTTATTTTTTGAGCAGCAATTTCTTCTAAGAGCCATCAGTGTTTTCTTTCTGTTATTGCCCTTACTTGACTGTCCCATTCTAATACTACCCTCTGCTTTTCCATGCATCATTCCTTCGTTAAAGGCAACTTTCTAAAGGTTCTGCAGAAAAAGCAGATGGAGATTGGGGATATGCTATCACAAGTTACTTCTTCTAGGGCATTTAAGTTTTAATGAAGTTTATGTAGACTTGCGTTGCATCTTTACTTGCTTTGCATTGTTAGCCATTTACTACTGACTGTTAATAATACTTTATTTTTTGTCCAGTCTCAAAAGCATGAAAAACAGAGACACAGTGTAATTTAAATAAAAATAATTCTTCCAGAAAAAAATGAAGTTTGCAGACTGATAAAGCTTTAGAGACATCTCCTAGTCTTCTGCACATAGTAGGCACTGTATTTTGCTGGATATATTTTGATAAAAGATCACAGAACCCTGAAAGAAAAATATATGAGTAGACCTGATTCACAGGATGGGTGTGGTAACGTATTCTTTAAACCCCTCAAATATATTTCCGTGGGCCAGTACAGAAAATGAAGTTGCTCAGAAAAGGCTTTCCCTTTTGAGGCGTAAACTCTGACAGTTTGTCCCTTACAGCAAACCAACACTGGGGATCTATTTGCATTACAATTATCTTGAATTAAATTATCATTATGTTACTCAGCTAATTTGAAGAAATCTTTCGCATGATTGCACTATAGCCAAAAGACCCCAACTGCATTTCCTCGCTCTCTAGTGTCCCTCCTAAGGCAGCAGTTCGTGAAGGGGGGAAAGCTGCAGAGAAGTAAAAAGAAGGGAAGTGAAAATCCCCAGGAATTACTACCCCTGCATCTCTTAAATTTCCAAAAGAGAGATTTCTCTTCTGTTAACTATGTGAAAAGTGTAATCTTTGAGTCAGGTGAGGAAAGCAGTAGGAAGCAAGCAGGGCTGGAAAATCAAAGCTTATTGTGTACCCTGTACGTGTGCATTTCAATTGCTGCTGTGCCCTGTTGAGCTGGGTCAGGGGGGTGGTGTTGTTGTGGAGGTTGCATTAGCACCAGTGGCAAGCTTCTGCTTTTTCTTCCTGGGGGAATGAAGGCTTGCCAACTTACAGGAAATGGGGTTGATTGCAGTAGCTGAACTGCAGCTGCAAAGGGAAATGGAAGGTAGTTTTCCCTGGGGATCTCTCATGTGTGGGTGAACCAGGGACTAATGATACGGAAGGGTTGACCACAGAAGTGAGCTTGAAGGGTATGTGGGCCCTGGAGTTCAAAAAGTCTCTCGTGTAAACTGGGGTAAAACATTTAAGATACTTTTGCCCGTTCAGCTTGATCCTAACTTTACAGGGATTTTTCATGGAGAATGACCAGTAAACACAATGCCACTTAGCTAGTTTGGGGGCAAGCCAGAGAGCAAAGAAAATGCATGTGTATGGAAAAGGGAAGGACTGATAGGAACGTCAACTATTAAAAAGAAATTATCAGATATAAAAGATAGAGAACAGCAGCTTTCTGGACAGTGGAGCTATAAACTACACAGATTTCTGAGGCCATTGAAAGAAGGAGAAATTTTTTTCCCCTTCTGTTTGAGGTTTTCAATGACTCTTGTGATTAAAACAAAACAAGTGTTATTCCTTAAAGTGAGTAGTTCTGCACTGAGGGGACAGTTGAAATTCAGTTGGATATATAGTGTGTGATACTGTTCAGGAATAATAGCTCGAGTGTACCCTTGGTCACTTGCATCCTCAGACTTTTACAATTATAAATCTCAGTTATTTATCAGGATTGATCCTTTGCACTGCATATTTTTTCCTTGTCATTCCTAGCAATTGACTTTCACATTTTTGTTCAAGTTGCTTCTAATGTGATTAATGCTTAGAAACTGCAGAAATACCCTTGAACTTTAGCCAAAGCTAATATCACGCAGATTTCATTATGATCAGTGCCTGAAGTAGTTTAAGAAAGAGTTTAACCTTTGTGGTTGGTTGTTTATTCTAACATCTGTAATATTATAGAGCATCCTCTTACAAGATTCCTTTGCCTTTCTAGTGTTCTCTGATATGCTTACTTTACTGTTTTGAGGGTTATTCTATATTTAGTATTTGCATGATTTCTTCTGGAAACAAATTGCTTTAAGTCTTACCATTTTACCTATTTCAGTCTTCTCCAGTTTCTCCAAACAGATGCATCATAAAGATTTATAATGAAGTTGTTACAAGGCATTTTGCGCATTCTTTTACCTCTCAAGCCTTTCCTGCATTTGCATGCTGGATTGTGCTGTCCTAGCAGGGAAGCTATAAATAGACTCTCTGATGCAGTGAGGCAGCTATGCCACAGTGGCCTTGGAAATCTCAGCTTTCACCTGTAACTCTGCAGTCCCATTCCCACCGACCTCACTCTTGCAGTAGCAGGATGCAAAAGGGACGTAAATGATTGATTGCTGCTGGTGGTGTCTAAAGTCTGAGTGTATTAAATTTGATGGAGCAATGAAGAATAGAGTAAGCTGTGAAGCTGCTCCTGTCAAAAAGGGGTAGGGTTATAATAATTACAGTTATTGCAGTACATTAGATTTTGGTTGTTTGCAGAGGTGACTTAAATTGAAATTAATGTTATTACCAAAGTTAAATACTTCTTTAAAATCCTTTCTTGTTCACAGAAGTTACATTTTTAATCATTTAAGTTTATAAAGTACTTGTATGTATTGAAGTACTATAGAGTACATGTTTACATTGTGAAAGATGTTTTGTTTTTTTACAGTGTGAAAAATTCAAACTATTGTCTCCCATCATATACTGCTTATAAGAATTATGATTATTCAGAGCCAGGAAGACACAATGAGCAGCCAGGCCTGTGTGGTCTGAGTAACTTGGGGAACACATGTTTCATGAATTCAGCAATTCAGGTACGTACTTTAGAATAAAATGAGCTTGTCTTACTACTTGGAAATGAGTGTCTTGTCATATTTTGTCATGTTTGGAAACTAATATTAAGAGACTCCATTAAGTAGCAGGATGGAATTAAAAGTGAGGAAATAATACATCTATATTGGTATACGAGAAAAGTTGATTTACATAGCTGCATTCATTTTCCCCTTGTTTTTGCACAATGATCAATGTCAGAAAGAGGTTTGCCCAGCATTCTACACGAGTGAACCCTTATGTAGGATTCTTTGCTTTTTGTAATGATTGCTATGCATGCATGTCATGAAAATACTTTTACATTTTGAGCTGCACTTAGGTACAGATTGTAGTGCTGAAGTGTCAAAATGTAGATGACTGGTGGATTACTCGGCCTTTATTTCTAACTAATTATCATGTACTTTTAGCACGCGGGTTAACATGCAGGGAACCTTTGAACATATTTCCCTTTGACCTTTCCTCTTTGAATAGCTGCTATTTCATGGATGAGAAATTTTACAGGAATGTAATAGCTTGTTTCTTTGCTATGATTGCAGGAGAAATACTAGTATACTAAGTATCATGACGGTTGGACTTGACCTTGAAGTTCTTTTCCAACCTTAGCGATTTTACGATTCTATTACTCTTACCAAGAGAAAAAAAACTTAGTCCTTTTAAGTGGAAGCTGCAGTGGTAGATTAATTAATGATCAGAAAGAACTAGTAGTTTAATTTGGTTTTGTTTAGTACTGGAACTGATGTTTTGTCATCAAAGCAGTCTTAAATACAAAACCTGTAAATTGTACTTTTTCATGCCAAGTATAAAGATACTCGATCTTAACCAAGCATGCTTCAGAGTTAATCTCCTCCTTTGTCATCACAAGGGTTTCCACCTTATGTTTGTGACTTCTTTGGGTGAAATGAAAAAAGATTAATGTTGAATTCCTTCTCTAGCCTGTTCAGGAAAAAAGTAGTTTCAGATACGTTTTTAAGCTATGTTTATGAAGTTGTTGATATTTGTTCAAAAGAAGAAATATTGCAGAGTTTCATGGTCTGTGCAGATTTTCTATCCCTTCTTTGTAAATAGAATCAGGTTTGAAGGGACCCTGGAATGATCATGGGTCCTGCCTCCTGTTCGTGTCCATTACACTAGTCCTGTCACTGTGCACTTCTGAGAAGTCTGGCTCCACTTCTCTGTAGCCTCCCATTAGGCAGCTGCAGACAGCCACGAACTCTCCCCTTAATGTTATCTTCTTCAGATTGAACAAATGCGTGCAGTTCTCAACCTTTACTTGTACGTTGTTTTCCAGCCCCACCGACCATGTTGGTGGCCCTCCCCTAGTCTTTCGTACACTGGGGAGCCCTGAACAGGACAGTGCTCCAGCAGCAGTCTCACAAGTGCCAGAGGGGAAGACTTGCTTCCCTTTGCCTTTGGCTACTATTACTAATACAGCCCAGCTTGCAATTAGCCACCTTTCCCACAGGAATGCACTGCTGGCTCTTCCACATATCCACAGAAAAGCACCACTGGGTCGTATTACGCAAAGCTGCTTTCTAGCCAGTCAGCCCCCAGCCTGTAAGTGGTGTCTGGGGTTATTCCATGGTTATTCTGTACTTATTTATATAAGGCATCCATAAAATTCAGTATATTCTTGTTTCTAAAAATGTTTTCATGAGGATACTTGAAGAGATGTTGAGCAGTGCATGAAGAAATTCAAATTTTTTTTTTCAATGCTGCACAAAGGGTGGCTAAACTGAAAGGAGGACACACACACATATTGCAGCATCTGTTCGAAATAAAAATGCTATATGTAATCTCTCTTGATTACTGAATTACGTCATTATGCTATTGTAAAGAAAAAAAAATATATTTTTATGTCTAGTGTGTAAGCCAGTATTTTCTTTTAAAAGTTAAATCAAAAAAATATTCTTAGTACAGAATGATTTTTTTTTATGATGCTGCACTGTTCATTAAGCTAGACTGATTAAAAACAAGGATAATTTTGATTACTTATTCAAACCTTTGTTAAACAGGTATGTATTTGCATATATGTAGATTTAAAAGTAACCTTTTAGGTGAGAATTATAAGTATTGAATATTGCCTTCAGGAATCTTACACAGTTTAACAAACATATTATGGTTCACATCAGTATCTCATTGTGTTAACTGGATTTAATTCTGAGGTCTGTGTTCTAAACCATGTCAGCCTTGACTTAATTGCTTTTCAGTTACATCTAGGGAATCAAGTGTTCAAATAAGTACTGAGAAACTGTAGTAAATATTAGTAAATACAATTTCGCCGATTCACAAGACAGTGCTCTAGGTAAGAAAATTAGGTGTTTATTGAGCAGTGCAGCTTTTAGTTCAGCATGGTACCTTTAGTATGTCCTTTACGGTGCGTTTTTTTCAAATACATTATTTGGCAACTTTCTTAGCAAGGAAGTGTAAAGTATCTTCCAGTTCCACCTACTGTATCTCTCAGAAAGTATTGTTCAGAGTTTAATGTTATCTAAGACAGCCATGAAAGTGCATTTTAATGAAAGTATGACGTGTTCTTAACACACTAAGGTCTTCAGACTGCAAGTTCTACTGTCTTCTTCCTCTTGTCACCACTTAGCTTCTACCTTTTTTCCAATTACACTGAAAGCATACATTGCACTGCACTAATTTGCCATTAATTTCACCTCCTACTGTTACTGGAGTAACACTGGATTATTCTGGCTAGAGGTGTAATGCCTATGGCTGAAGCACTCTGAACACATTTGATCTTGTCTAATCTTGGAAGCAACAAAGGGATGGGCCTGTTAGTATGTGGATGGCAGAACAGGGAATTGTGCTTGGAGACATTGGGTGCTCTAGGCTTTGACCTGGATGATGGAGCAGAGCGCACCCTCAGAAGGTTAGAGATGACACAAATCTGGAAGGAGGGACTGATACACCAGATAGGTGTGTTGCCTGTGAGCGGGACCTCAGCAGACTGGAGAAATGGGCAGACAGGAACCTCATGAAGTTCAATCAAAGGAAATGCAAAGGCCTGCACCTGGAGAAGAATAACCCCAGGCACCAGTACATGCTGGGGCACAGAGGAGGGTTGGGGAGGGGGCGCCGGATGACCAGATGGAAAGCAGCTTGTCAGAGAAGCACCTGGGGTCCTGCTGGACAAAAAGCTGAACATGAGCCAGCCATGTGTCCTTAGGCCAACAACCTTGTGGGCTGCATTGGGAAAAGCATTGCCAGCAGGTCGAGGGAGGTGATCCTTCCCCTCCACTCAGCGCTGGTGAGACAACCTGAAGTGCTGGTCTCACTTCTGGGCTCCCCAGTACCAGAGAGACAGGGAGCAAGTCCAGTGAGAGGCCACAAAGGTGATCAAGGGGTTGCAGCATCTGACCTATGTGGAGGGGCTGAGAGAGCTGGGACTGTTCAGAGAAGGCTCCAGAGCAATCTTACCAATGTGTAGAAATACCCAATGGGAGGGAATGAAAAAGATGGGGCAAGACCCTTCTCAGCGGCACCCACTGAAAGAAGAGGCAATGGACACAAACTGAAGCACAGGCAATTCCATTTAACTATAAAAAAAATGTTGTGAGCATTATCAAACAGTGGAATAGATTTTCCAGGGAGGCTGTGGAGCCTCCATCCTTGCAGATGCTCAAAACCTGACTGGACACATTCCCAAGCAACCGGCTGTAGGTGATCCTTCTCTGAGCATGGGATTGGACTAGATGATCTCATAGAATCATAGAATCATTTAGGTTGGAAAAGACCTTTAAGATCATCAAGTCCAACCATTAACCTAACCCTGCCATCCCACCACTAA